TTAATCATATACATACCTGTACATACTCATACACATACACATACACACACATACATACATACACACATACATATATATATATATATATATATATATATATATATATATCAACCATATACACACATACACACATATATATATATATATACATATATATATACAACACATATATATATATATATACATATACATATATATACACACACAAATACATACATATATACACACCCATACACATATATATATGCATCACACATATACAGTAATATTACATTTTCTCCATAATCTTTACCTTCCCAACATAATATATTACATATATACACACACACTCACATATATATACATACATACCTCATTTGGGGATGTAAAAAAAAAAAAAAAAAAAAAACCATAAAACATTTATAACCAACCTACACATTCCTCATGCAAATACTTCCAACACATAAATAAATATATATATATTACCCAACACTGATAACACTATGCAGGTAAACAATGCACACACTTATATCGTAAATATGAATTATGCAGAGGAATACTAATCTGTAAAATACAGCGACATATCATTATCATTTAAAGTATACGACCCCTACACTAAGTTAAATTTATAACGTTGTTTATTTTACTGTCAGTTCATATCTTTTTGATTTAAAGATCAGCCTTGTTTTAAATCTAATATTTCAAATTTTTCATTAAGGCATGGGTAACATTTATACATTACAAGTACGAGCTTTCGTAAAAACTCCATTTAATCGTAGGTGTTTTGTTCTTATCTTTTAGATTCCAAAATACTTGGATAATGAAGTTTTATATCACTGTGATTAAAGGATTGCATATGCCCCCCCCGCCAGCGTTCCTTGAATGTTTTCAATAGAACCAATGTAAAATTTCTTTTGATTTGGATTTTCAATTGTTGAAATAGTACCAAGATAGACTATAATCCCACAGTTATTTTGTAGTGGACAATTATTCAGTTCCTATAAAAGTTGTTATTTGTATTCTTATAATTAGTATTGCAGTTAGTAACCTGTTGATTAGTCAAGCCTTTTGAATTCCTAATCGGTTAAAGACTATGTTGTTATGTTTTTTAATTATCTGTCAGGTTATCAACACAACTATTTAAGGGTATTAGGATTAAATATTTTACTAAGTGGGTTAGTTTCAGGGTTGGGGAAACGTTTTTTGATTAGGTTAATAAATATACGCCCTAACATGTTTTGACCATAACATTGAAAGGGGAAAGTGAACCAAATAACCTTTCTAGATCTTCTTTTCTTATTATGGTTGTAATTAACAGGGTTTTTATATTGAATAGTGGTATTTTTTGTATCCACTATTTTTTTGCAGAATTATAAAAATCCACTATGTTTATTGAAAACCTCCTTATTATAAAAGTTAGCGAAATTCTAAATTCAATGGAAGTGGGTATATGTTTGATAAAAGGGGGATTTGGAATTAGGATGCACGTATAATGGGTTGGAATTATCTTTCACATATGGTTGGAAAATATTGTTAAGAAGATCTGGGTGACATCTAGAAAATCTACTTGTCTAACATTAGTAGTAACTATTGTCCTAAGACCCTAAATCCTTAAATATATAGATCATTTTCCTAATACGGTCTACCTTAATTTTAGTTGAGTTTTTAACAACCAATAATCCATCATCTCTATATAATCCTACACTATCTGAATCTAGAACAATCGAAGGCACAAATAAATCAAGTGATGGTGTTGAAAAGAAAATAAATGGTTTTAAAAGTTTTCAGTGTATTGAGCACTCTTTTAAGAATAGTAATTGTTGGTTATTGGAATTCATATATATATATATATTTGATATATATATATATATATATATATATATATATATATATATATATATATATATATATATATATATATATATATTTGTAAACGAATTAATTGACTTGAGTTTGCTGAAAAATAGCTGGGTCTTCAAAAACTTATAATTACCAATCTTGATCCATTCTTGTAGGAAAAAAATCCATC